ATATATATATATATATATATGTGTATATATATGTATATATGTATATGTGTATATATATGTATATATGTATTTGTGTATATATATGTATATATGTATATGTATATATATACACATATATATACAAATATACATACACACACGTATATATATATATATATACACACACACCAAAGTTCAATACCATATCGTACCGGTGTACCGATCAGTTGTCAGTACGTATCGTACTGAGCTGTATCGAGTTGTACTGACAGATGGTATACTAAGATGTCTCGATGTATCGCTCATATCGGTTCTCTGTCAGACCAATACATACTGCTCATACTGAGTCGTATAGTACGATATTACAAACTATGATATGTGTGTGTGTGTGTGTGTGTGTATATGTAATATGTATATATGGAGATATATAGGTATATATATATATATTATGTACATGTATATGTATATATATTTATATATGCATATATATGTATATGTATATGTATGTATTTGTATATATACATACATATACATATATATATATATATATGTATATACATCTATATATACATAAATACATATATATATATATATATATATGTATATATATTTATATATGCATATATATGTATATGTTTGTATTTGTATATATACATACATATACATATATATATATATATATGTATATACATCTATATATACATAAATACATATATATATATATATATATATATGTATATATATATATATATATATGTATATATATGTATATATACATAAATACATATATAATGTATATATACATATATATATTTATATATCTATATATACATATACATACATACATACATACATATATATATGTGTGTTTGTGTGTGTGTGTGTGTGTGTGTGTGTTGTGGTAGTAATTCGAGAGTAAAAAGTGATTCTTTCTTGTGATCGTAGTGCTTTTGTGTGCTTTAAGTCGCTCAATATGGAGTCCTAAAACATAAATTCTTGCCTTCATCTCCTTCTTGTCTTGCTTCATCCCTGTAATTTGATTGTAAATATGCCACCTTTTGGTGCTTACCCACATTTAGGTCTCCTTATTGCTTTCTTTTATGTTATTATTGTTAATGATAGTTTTGATTTTTTTTAATAAGGTTGATTTAGGTCATTTTGTTTGACAATCTTACAACTACTCTCAAGTACCTAATAGTCTGGAAGTGGTGCTCATCAGGATTTGCTAAAGATATGTGTGTTGATCAGCATGGAAATTCTTGCATTAAACTGTATGAAAAATCTAGTGTGTGAGAATCAAGCTAACAAAATCAGGAGCATTCTTGTGAAGTGACAGAGAATATATGAGGTTATGAAATAGAAGTCAATTAAGCTAAAATAGTTTCATAAGTGGTCCAAGATGTTGCTCTAGGGTTATAGACGATTGAGATATGAGCTGACCAAAATCCTTGGTTTTACGCTAGGATTGGTAGTTCTTCGTGCCATACTTGGTGATTGGATCTCATAAAGTCCAGTTATTTCAGGTCAATAAAGCCTAGTTATTTGGGGTTAACTACATGATCTTTTCTTGCCATTGGATTCTGTTAAGGGCAATATCATGTGTTTCAATGTAGAATTTGGAATCAAAGAACTAGAGAAGATTGATGAAAACTTGGTTTGAAAGGATAAATGGTTTTTATGACCTTTGATTTATCTAATCTTGTGAGATCAATTACAACAACATCAACAAAACTGTAAGTTCTAACCAGTGTTTTCAAAAAGCACTCGAGTGAGGCGTTTCGTTGAAGCATCGCCCAGGCGTCGAGTGCCTCAAGTGAGCCCTCGAGTGAGGATGGGTCTGGGTTCGTGTCTAGTTCGATTGAACAAGCAAGTTGGTTCAATTGAACCAACCAATCTGCCCTAACACAACACCCCCACCCCTTTGTGCTTGATCCAGTTTATCTTCGAAGTGAAACCCAACGTTTATTGTTGTCAATGCCACTTTCATCTGCAGCTTCCTTCGTCATTGTCGCCATCGTTCATAGCTTCCTTCGTCGTCACTACTATCGTTCACAGCTTCTTCCGTCGGTAGCTTCCTTCGCTGTCGCCTTCACTCACGGCTTCCTCCTTCGTCGTCGTCTTCGTCTGCTGTCCTCTCCTTCACCCTACCTTCCTCTACAGTCGTCTTTTACTCCTCTTCTTAATCCATTCTTTCTCATGTCGATTAACTTGCTATACCATATTGAGGTGATGCACTATTAGTTTGTTAGGAGTTAGAATCGTTTAGCACCATATTGAAAACATTGTTTAGCATTCGTCTCGATCAATATAACATTGTTTAAAATCAAGATATGTAATTTCGAATAATACCGCCCAGTACGGGCGGTACATACCAGTCCGTCAGCTTACTAGTACACGGACCATCCGTTACCGAGCGAAACGAAAAAAAATATAAAAGATTATATATATATATATATATATATTTATAAACGAGGCGACGTCGCCCCCCGTGGCAGAAGGGAAAGGCGACATCGCCGAGGCGATGCGACGTCGCCTTTTATAAAAATATTATATATATATATATATATATATATATATATATATATACCGAGCGGTATACTGTTCGGTATACAGTTTCGTACCGTACCGAGCGAACGTCGAAACTCCGATACGGTACGAAATTGCATACCTTGTTTAAAATATTAAAATTTTAATATTTTGGACTGCCTTGCATCGCTTAGGTGGGCGCTTAGGCAAGTACCTAGTGGGTGTTTTGAGATCTTGGTGCCTAATGCTTATAAAGGCTTGCCTAGGTGCCTCGGGCATTTTGGGACTTTGGCGTCTAACACTTTTAAAAACACTAGCCCTAGTTATTTGGGATTTAGTGAGATCGACTCTTGATCTAGGCCTAAGACGTTTTGGGACCTTGGCGCCTAACACTTTTAAAAACACTGCTCCCAATTATTTGGGATGCAGTGAAATCAATTCTTGATCAAAATACTCGGTTTTATGTGGTAGTTCTTTGTGCAATAATTGGTGGTTGGATCTCATAATTGATATGTTATAAACCTCTCAGTTATTTGGATTCTGTCGAGGGCAATATCTAATAACCATTACGACCTTTGGTTTATCTAATAAAAGTTCCCTATAGTGAGATCAACTCTGGTAAAGTAACCTTGTAATTTAGAGGGGATCTGGGTGGTTCCAGCATTTAGGAAATGAGGAAATGAGATGTGCAGCAATCAAATACTACCTCTGAAAGAATGCTTCTCAGCTAGTGAGAGGCCTCATCAAATCTTCTGTCATTTGTTTACATATTTAGATATACTTTGACAATATGAACTCTTCATTATTTCTGAGATATGTAATGTATGTTTTCTGTTAGCTATATATGGAACTTGATATGTGCTGATGAACCAATATGGATGTTATGATATGTATAAACCGTGTTCCCTGGTGATTTCCATTAGTAATATGCGTGTGGGTTTCTGCAGGACAAAGGTCGGCCCTTGCCAAAGTTTGGCGAGTGGGATGTCAATGATCCTGCTTCTGCAGAGGGGTTCACTGTGATCTTTAATAAAGCCCGAGATGAGAGGAAAACAGGGAGCAATGCACGAGAAACAGACTCACCTGGGAAGGAGGAGACAGGTTTTAAACATGGACCGTATGCTTCTAAGTCTACTGCTGTAAGTAATTCATGAGCATCTTATTGGCTCATTCCCTTAATTTTTCTTGGAACATTATATAGCTTGAAGTTAAATCCTTAAACCTGCAGCACCTTCAGAGGTTAACTTTATCTGTTGCATTTTTTGTGTCCACAGAAGAAATGGTTTTGCTGCATGCAAGCATCAGCAGAATCATGAGGATGAATGCTTGTGGTTTATGAATTATGGTATTGATCGAGTGACGGGAAGTGCTGGCCACCATTTATATCTGTTCCTGTTGACATTTCATTTGCAGTAGTTGAAGGTTAAGATGGCTCGAGTGAGCAAGACTGGAAGAAAGCTGGGGAGGGTTGGAAAGGCTTAAGAGTCATTCATTTATTCATGTGAACATATGCATATTCGAAACTTAAATTGATCTCGTTTTCTTTTTCTATTCCATATGTTATACCATTTTTGTTTCAGATAAGTTGTGATAATGCTTTCCCGGCACTGATACATCGTTTATTGTTTATAGTGAAGGTTTATAATCTTCACTTAACATTGATTGGGAGTGTGCACCAATAGGTGTAGGAACGTGAGAGTACTAGAGATTTCAGATATCAACCTTATAAGGATTGAGATTGATTCAAGCCTAATGTTTCTCCTGTAGCAAGTTACTGACCATGTTCACCAATGGCAGACTACCCTTGGACATGATCTCTAACCTGGAAGTATTCGAAGTATGTGAGAACAAAGAAAGCCCAAACTGCACAAGCTCCGGAAGAATCAACCTCGATGACCGGAAGCCTAGCAAGTAACGTGGCTCCAAATCGAATAACGCATCGAAGAATCTCCTTGTGGCTTGCAAGTCCAGTTTGAGCAGGACATCCATGCCAAAGCAGAACTCCCTCTGTCTTCTCCCCTCGATCGGCCACAGATCCTTCCAAACCCGCGACGACAGTTCGTCGCCCAGGAGGCCATGGATTGGACCGAGGTACTCGACAATGGAGTTGGCGACGACGGGAGCTGCTGCGAGAGTCCTGGCGATCATGCACCCTGTGGATGGATGAACCATGCCCGCGGTTCCTCCTATCCCCACCACCCTCTGCGGGAGCAATGGAAGCGGCCCGTCCATCGGAAGAACGCATCTATCGTCCTCTTCGATGCCATTCACTTTGATGCCCAAATGCCTCAGTCGAGCCACCATCCTCTCCTGTATGTCCTCCATCTGCAGTCCTGGGCAGGCGACCAGGAAAGTCTCCTCCAAGAAGATGCTCGTGGATGAGAATGGCATCGCGCACAGAAACGTCGGGACTTTGCTGTTCCTCTCCTTCAGCTCTGTTCCATCCTTGAGGTGCGAGTTTCTCCAGCCCATGAACACCATCTTATCCAGATCGAATGGGTGGTCTTCTACCTCCGCCAAGATCCCATAGGCTACCTGGTACCCATGATTGTACGGCTTGTCGTACTGCACAAGGCACCTCGAGAACCCTGTCGCGTCGAGGACGACGATCGCCTGGATCGTGACCCCGTCGCTGCAGATCAACAGCGATTTCGTCTCCTCGTGGATGACCTTGACGACCTTGGCCTGGTGGAATCGAACACCATTCGAGACGTCTGCATTATCTTCGATTTGACCTGCTTGCGGTTGACCCGGCCGTACGGCCGTCCGAGAATCCTCTTCCTCCGATCGTTGACGTAGACCACGGCGCCGGGCCAGGTGGCGTCGAGGCAGTCGAGGAGACCCATGGCTTCGAACTCCTCGACCCAAAGGCCGCAGTTGTTCGGCCACACTAGCCTGGGCGACGGGTCGCTGGAGCAGACGAAGAGACCTGTCTCGGACACCTGCTGGGCGACGGCGAGCCCCACAGGGCCTCCGCCGATGACGGCGAGGTCCAAGGTGAGACCTTTGGACGGGTCATAGGAGGGAAGGTCGAATTCAAGATTCTCCTTCTTAATCCGTGGAACAAATTCTAGGAGTGCATTGCTGGTAGCTCGGGCAGCAGAACTCCTCATAGCCCATTTCTTGTAGGGTTTTCTGGGGAGACCACCGGTTCCGCAGTCCTGAAGCTTCGGGGAACGATAAACGCCACACCTTTCAGCAACCCTGTGACCAAGGTGGAGCAACTCGAGCCTCCTGTGAGTTCTGAAGAGGGTACCCATTACGGTAAAGCGTTGGATTCGCTTCGGAAGGCCAGGCTCCTGCAGAAATCAATCACCTCAAAGATTCAGATTTTGAGCTTAGTTGTAAGCTTCAAGAACAGGAGAAAGCTTTAGAAGCCGGCCAAATCCGAAGAACAAATACAGCTCTTAGGCAATTCCCCAAAATCTCGGCTTTAACGATGCATCCAAAGGGAACTTCCGAGTTAGAGATCCGGAGGGAGAAGCAGCAGCAGCTAAAAGCCGGAAGCTACCATCCAAAAGAAGAGAGGAAAAGCTGGAGAAGGAAGCCTCTCCTAGTTTGAGGGAAAGACGCAAAATGGAAGCTTTTGTGGAGTCCGAGTCGTGGCACAAGAACGGGCTCCGCACGAAGCAACGTGTACCGAACCACCGTTTCACGTGCTGCGAAAACGTGCGCTCGCAAAAGCTCCTCCTCATCGTCATCGAGCCCCGTAAGACCAAACCATCTCGCGGACGCTCGCACGGGATGATGATGTGCACCTTCCTTGCACGGTACGTGCAAGTAAAGATTTCTGCAAAGGTTGCGACTTGGGTCGAAAAATCCAATTACGGTTATAACGTTGGGTTGGTTTAAGCCGGAAAAGCTAGACGATATCTCGATTGAACCCAATCCAATTCGAGCCACACCAGCTTTGTTATACATGGTAGCCATGAATAACCCGAATAACTTGACCCGAACCCATACTAAGTCGGTGCAACATGCATTTGGGTTAGGTTAGATGTACGTTTCGCTTCGTGCTTTGACGTAACAGTATTCGCTAATCCTATCATTTGTACAGCATATAATTTTTAAGCTTTGTTTCATCGCCCTTGGGCTGGCGCTGAAGGAAGAAAGAGTCCGGAACCTCGAATCTAACAGAAACCCTCATCGTGATTGTAAGTGGCTTGTCCCCACAAGTGGGGCCCTAGTTCATCCTCCAATCACACGAATTAGGTGGGGCGGGCACGTGACTCAGAGGTGGGTGAAAAGGCATCGTTTGATCCCGGTCTATTAGGAGCCATTTCGGCCTAAGGAAGTCGTCGCGTCCGCCACTTCGCTCTGCTCAGCCCCGCCTCGTTCCAACAAAGCGGGTTTCCGCTTCCATGGCCTCGCCTCCTCTCTCCTCCCCCAGCGGCGACGACGGCGGATCTCTCGTGGCGGATCCCGGCTCTCAGGCCGGAAGTGCCGCCGGGAGCTTGCAGGGCGGCGACGGAGTACTCTCCGCGCCGCCCGCCGTAGCAGGACCCGGCGCCTTCCCCCCTTGCTCCTCCGGCGGGGGAGACGACGCGGAGTACGGGTTCCAGCGGCCTGGGTTCGGAAAGGGGCCGCTGGTGGGCACGGTCCAGCCCTACGATCGGCACCTGTTCCTCTGCTATAAGTCGCCGGAGGTGTGGCCCTCGCACGTCGAGGGGTCGGAGTCCGACCGCTTGCCGAGGTTCCTGGCGGGTGAGATCAAGAACTGGGCGTCCTCGATCGATAAGAAGGTGAACCTGCCTCCTGAGATCTAGGGTTTCTGCCATCCCTTGCGATTTATTCTTGATTCTTCTTTCCGAGGATGTTCTTGGCATTTTGTGGGATGTGGTCAGGGGATTAGGGTTCCGATCGTGAGCTCCAACCGGTGATCATTTCGCAAAAGATTGATTTCCTAACTCGAGGATAAACCCCGGTGAAGTAGTTGTATATGTTTTCCTTTCATGTTCTAAGGGTATGGTACTGATCCTTTCGGTTATCTATCTTCTCGATCTATCCTTTGTGATCATTCGTTTCTTAGAACACAGCATGGAGTGACTTGTTACTATCTTCCTATCGGGTAACCGCCAGAATCAAACAAGTAGAATGACACCTTAACATAACACTGGATTCAGTGTTATGACTTACCAATCTTAAACGAAACTGGTGCAAACCGAACGACTTTGTGTCGGCATACAAAATCTTGGTATTTCAAGGGGCTTTGGGCACACGTGATGTAGCTATAACCTTTTTAACTTCAACCGTTATGTTAAGGAATCTGTTGTGTTATGGATTCTGATTGGAGGTTATACAGCAGGTGAATCCAGTGTTACTCCTCCGATTTATTAGGTATTTCCCTTTCTACCTCGTTGGACCTTCCATTTTATTTAGATTTGTTATGAATCTGTTGTTCCATTATCTTATGGCAATATATGGAATAATATCAAAATTTTAAAATTTTCAATATAAACATTTTTTGAGTAGAGAGAAGATAGCCTCCATGTCGTATCAAGTGTTTCAAAACAAATATGTGCACAAGAGGTTACAAGCACTGTGGAATTTCACCATTGGTCATACATTGTTCACAAGCTTTGTCAAATTTAACATGAGCTAAGCTATTGGTTACAGTCACCAATATGTTTTCTAAGTTCACTTTTAATTGTGTTAATCCCGTATGTCTTCTTGATAACTATTTTTGCTGACTATATTTGTTGTTTGCTGAAAATTTTAATTGCTTAAAAGACAATAGAAGTGTGTTATTTTCCTGATATTTGTGTTGGTTGGTTTGAATTTCAATTGCTATAGACATAATATTTTTTTTGGAAATTAGAGAAGCATTTTTCTTCAACTGTAATATAACGACATTATGTATCTTTTCTATGTGTTATGAGACCTATTAACTAGGTGATTCTTTAAGAATCATGATAAGTACAAAGTACTTATCCATTTCATATTGTTGATGTGTTCATGGTACTATGAAACACCAGTACATCAAATTGGCTGATAAGACCGTAAAGTCTTATCGTAGGCTCTGATACCAAATGATAAGACCCTAAAGGTCTTATCGTCGCTCTGATACCAAATGATAAGACCCTAAAGTCTTATCGTCGAAAAATTGGAGAAATGGGGATGATAATGATCGCTTCGAGGGGATCGGCCCTCCTTGATCGCTTCGAGGGGATCGACCCTCCTTGATCGCTTCGAGGGGATCGTCCCTCCTTGATCGCTTCGAGGGGATCGGCCTCTTAGGGTTTGTCAAAAGACATAATAGTATTTTTCATAGATTAATGAAAAGAAACAGTTACATCCTTATTTATAGAGTTCCACCCAAAGTCTATCAGGACTTGAACTCTAATAATAAATAAATATTAAATAAACCTCTACTTAACTCTAACTGAACCAAACCAACTCAATAAACAACTGGACTAAACAGACTCAATAAACATTATTCAAAAGCTCAGAAAATGGGTCCTAACAGTTCCTCTTCAAATCAGCCTTGTCCTCAAGGCTGAGCAGCATCAATCTCGGGGAGCTTCTCTTTCAGCACTTTAGCCATAGACTATCTGCAACGCATCACAACTCGTTGATCAAGTAAG